TATAGAGAAGATCGGAGACTCCCAAGTTTACCCGGGTACCCCCACAAAATCTGTCCTTTATACTTATCTCTTCTCTTCATATCTCTTAATTTCTTTACCCTTCTTCCTTAGCATATAAGCTAGATTAAGGTAGATTTAAGTAGTCGTAGTATCTTAAACCATAATCTTTTTATTGTCGCGAGCACGTGTTCTATTTGTGAAAATATAGAATTTTGTCGGACGGATTCGAACTTGTGCACGTACTATAGTTTGGGATCAAGTGTGTTTAGTGTAAACGAGCCAGGTGTACGAAGGACTAAGTAGCTGCAGTTGAATAAATATCCTGTTTAATTTTATGGTTACTTCTTTGTCATCCTTTTTTTGTCCTCCACACCACTACAAAATAACTATATTTCACTGGATACATCCAGTAAATATAAAAATAAATTTAGTGGTAGCATTTTCTACTTTATTTAATAAGATAAGGCAAGACAATTCTAGATTTTTTAATTACTTTTATATGTCTGTATCAACATTGATGAATTATTGAGCTGTTTGTAAAATACCTTCTTCACTTCAGTCATGAGAAACCTGCAGCCCGTGAGATCCTAATATGTGGTCTCCAGGATTTTGGCAACATTTTCTAAATTTAATCATTTTGTTGATTAAGATTAAAATTTAATCAACAAATATATTTATTATTTTTTATATATATAATTATTATTATGACAATGATTGACATTTTTTTTCAAATAAAAATCATTAAGTAAAAAGTATTTTTACTAATAAATTTTAGCTATTCAAATAATAATTTGTTTTGAAAAATTAGTTAGTTTGCAGCATTTTATAATTTCTTAATGTACGAAACAATACAATAATTAGACTTTATCAATAATATATATTGTTTTAAAATTTCAGAGTAGTATTGGTGTCTTCCAGAAAAGCTCCAATGGTGATTTTTTCTTCATTATCATCTTATACTCGTAGAAATTCCCAAAATTTAACCAAGTAAATAAATTTTCCTTTTAGATTATGTTTAATTATTATGATATATTATGGTATTTATTGACTGTTGAACACAATCTTGTGTTCAACAGTCAATAAATACTAAAACATGGTTTCAGAAAACAAAAGAATTATATTATGGTATATAAGATATAATTTTTGTTAAAAAAGGCTTAAAAAAATTGTCTTTCATCTTATATGTGAAGTTGTGATTTCACATAAGCTAATGAATTTCCCAAAGGGCCTTCAGTAGGCTACAGATAACTCCTGTGTTGCCATCTCTTAAATAAAAATGTTATTGTTTAATTAAACATATTATTATTATCATCATAGGTAAGCAGCTTTTGCATGTATTTATATAGAATATTTTAATGATAAATTTTAATTGTAAATGACTTATTTTAAACTTCTCTTTTTCCTTGATAAGTAAATGTGCATTCTAGTTTTACTTTGTTTTTTAAAACCAGAATATGGAAAAATATTTGGGTCAAGTGATAGACACATAAGATGACTTATATACTCTAAATATTCTATAGTGAAATGAGGGTGCATCTTAGATGCCTTAAAGTATTTTTGGAAATCATGATTTCTTAAATTGATATTTTTCTTCTGATTATTTACAGTTTAGATATGAAATAGTGTTGAATGTAATGGTCAGATATTATTGTAATCAATTGAACATCTTTAACTTCTTAACTTATTATAGAATGCCATAACAAAAAAATTTAATTAGCCACTTGGCTATCTGGTTGTCATTGATTCTTGATTAAAAATTCTTAGATGTTTTTATTAAAGACTTTGTGAAAATTAAAGTATATGCTTTCTTGTGAGTTTTTAGTAGAAATTTATTTCTTAAAAATATTATTTGTTTTAAATATAAAACAGATTTTCACTGTGTTTCTAGATCTTTTAAAATATAATTTATTTATTATTTTGATAATGAATATTATTAAAACTTGTAGAAAAACAGAATGCATTGACTCAATGCAAACTTAAATTGGAACAAAAATAAAATTTGAGTTAAGGAAGTTTGACTTATTGAGTTTGCTGTGTTGTAGAATAAAATTTTCATGTTTTAAAATTTTTATTTTTGCAGAAGACATAGTTTTATGTGTGAAACTAGAACTNAGATTAATTAATATTGAAATGTTTATAAAAGTTTTATTATTTAAGCTATGTTATTATTACTTTTAACTTTGAATATTTTGCAATCTGTAAATTTTTAATATAAAATTTTAATAAAAAATTTTATTCAGTTTTATTTTATTTTATTTCAAAATTCAGCTAAAGGCTACAGTAAAAAATCAGTCTTTCTAGTTTATTTTTAAATAGAAAAACTGTTAAACTGTTTTTTTACTGTAATTTTTATTTCTGACATTATTTTCTAATAAGTAATTAAAACATGTATAAACTGTTATAAACATTGGCAGATGAAAATTAAAATTTTAAAAAACATGTATATTAAATATATTTATGACTTAATATTATTATTTAACTTTATACTTACGAGATATTATCTTTTATATTTTAGTTATTAGTAATATTACATTATGATAATTAAATAAGCTAATTATCTGAATTAATATTTTCTGGAAAAAAGGATATAATAAAAATCCATAATTTTTACTGATTAACTTCTTAAATTGAAATTTCTACTTATTAAACTTTAATTGATAGAGAATAATTTCAGAATTTTTTATTGTTGTGTTGAACTCTAACTGTTGTGTTGAATACATGTTTTTTCTAAAGGAAATCTGTTAATGTTTAAAAAATTAGTATTTGTAATTAACTTAAATTATAAATATATAATTTACTCTTAATAAACTTACAAAGTTAATTATTGAATTTTCCAATTTTATAGAAGCGAAACAAAACAAGAATGTATTCGAAGAAGACATGGTTCAAATAGTCGTCAGCTATCAATTATTAATGATGGTCCAGATCCTTTAGATCTTTTGGCTCTTATGGGTTTTGAAAAACCAGAAGATGGGCAAGTTTGTATATTTAAATTAATAGTTTTCAATTTTAATTGTTTCTATTTTATTTAATATGTAATATTCTGCTATCCAAATCCAAACATTCTTGAAAATGATTTGTATATTAGAAAGTTTGATATTGGAGGTTTATCAAGTTATTTCTTATGAAAAAAATTTAACTTGTTTCCAGTCCATCTAAATAACTCCAATAAATCTTTTCAAATTATACTAAAGGGCTGTCTACATGGCATCATTGTGATACATGTCACAGCTTCACATACCCCTGTGATCAAAAAGTATTGGGAATAGTTCAATAAAATGCAAGATTTGAATTTATCATGTCCCCTTCAAAGTAATCCCCTCCACTGCAATGCTCTTATGCAACATTTTTTTCAATCCTGAAAAACATGCTTCAAAGTTGTTTTTGGGAAACCCCTTCAGGACTCACAGCAAATTTTGTTTTATGGCATCAATCAACTCAAAACAATGACCACAAAGTGGAAATTTTAGTCAAGGAAACATGAAAACGTTACTTGGTGCTATATCAGGTGAATACAGAGCTTGCAGAGTTGTATTTGTTGAATTTTTGTCCAAAAACTCATGTACAATAAGAGCATTGTGAGCAGGTGCATTATTGTGGTGCAAAATCCATGAGTTTTGTTTCCACAAATCAGGTAATTTTCTATGAATTGCTTCATGCAAACAATGCAAAATGCTACTAGATTCAATATATATCCAAAACTGGGATTGTATAAACACAACGCACAAAACCAACACCAGCACTGTGAAAAGAAAAAATTTACTAACGTTTTTGTCTATATTTACTAACTTTATTTACTACTATATTTACTAATTTAAAGATAGTAGTAAAGTAATAATAATATAGCAGTAAATAATAAAGTAAATATAACTATATTTACTACCTTACTAAGTAAAAGAAAAAATTTACTAACATTAGTTAGTAAATTTTTTCTTTTCATAGTGCTGGTGTTGGTTTTGTGTGTTGTATGCTACTAGATGTTGATAAGTCATACTAAATGACAAAAAAATGATAGCAGCTCTCTCTTGCATGCACACAGTTTAAATGAATCATTCTGATACTTTTTGATTGCAGTAGTTTGTATTACAGATGTGGAGGTTGAAGTGATGGCTTCACAATCTGCTGCTGCAGGAAATAGAATTTTTTGATCACAAGAATAGTGACATCGGGGATGTTTACAGAGAGAATAGTGTGTCAAAATGCTAGTAGCTGCTGTTAAGTAACTGCATTTGCTGAGTGAAAAATATGGATTTAAACTTATTTAAAAAAATTAAAATTATATTCATTCAGTTATTCAGTGGCCTTCCTCATATTTGTATTTTGCCTTAATATGTAGAATTTTATCATTCCAGCAGTTTCTGCAAAGAAGATACATTAATTCAAGGGATATTGTCAATATTTTTCCATCTCTTCAGTTTCAAACACTGTCATAAGGGTTCAATAATATCCTAATAGAGGGGTTGGCAACCTTTCAGCGGTGTTGTACTGAACCTAATTTATACTGGGCGCCTACATGATTCTACCAATTTTGTTATATATATAGTATTATCAAAATTGGTCCGGTTAAAATTGACTTCAAAAATATATAATTTTGAAGTTAAATTGTTAATTGAATTATGTTCTTATATGTGAAGCACATGCACAACACGTAGATGGCAATAAGAAGTGTAAATGCATGCACTGTAATATAAATATACAAGCAAGAGATTTGTTTTTTAATTTACCACTGCCTACATTGAACTATGGCTTCCATTTAAATATGTAATTAATAATTAAAATGTAATTTTTACTATATTTCTATTCAGTCAGAGTGCCATTGAAAATTGTCCTGCATGCCATGCCATGTTTGGCACTTGTGCCATAGGTTGCAACCCCTGCCCTAATATATCCCTTCTTTCCAAGTTGTTCAATACCCAGTTTTCTCTCTTTCCCTTCTGAGAATATTGTCCTAAGCACAGTTCATTTGCAATTAATATCATTGCTAAATTTTCATAAAACTCTTACAGTGTAGAAGCCATTTCCAAAAAATACACAAAAGTTGGCCTAGGTAACAAATATAAGTTAGGCTTAAAACCATAAAAAAACACTGAATATTAAAAAGCAAGTTTAAAAAATAAAAACAATTGAAAATAAAAAAATATATTGAACACTTAAAAAATATCATCTAACTACAACCGTGTAATAACAAATCTCAAGAAAAAATTGAGATAAGATGACTGTTTTTCATGTGTCTTCTATGAACTGATTACTTTCAGCATCAGAACAGAAAGATTCTATTTTCTTGTTTCATTGTATGGAAGAGAATCTGCATCAAAATGAAGCTTGAAATGTGATGCAAATGTAACTACATGGGTGTTTTCTTTGAAGAAAAACACTGTGATTTTAGATGCTGCTGTTTGTGTTTTGAAGAAAGTTTACCACAAAATTAAAAACACAGTGAAGCCAATTTTTTGTATTTTCAAAGAATCTGTGATGCGTGTCAAAATGCCATGTAGACCTCCCTTAAAATACTGCAAAACATCTGTTTACCTAACAACCCACAGTTTTAGTCTGATATTAAAAACATACAAATTACAATTAATCTTACTAATAAATATTTTATGAGGCCACTAAAAGATTAGTTTGCAAGAGTAATGCAACAAATAAATTTGTATAATATCATTTATTACAAATTTTTAATATATAGTAGACATACAATATTTTTACATTTTCATTGTTGCATGNAGACGAAAAAACAAAAAATATCGTGTATCCACGAGCACTCCAATAAATAAATAGAATTGAAACGACACTTTGAAATGTTTTCCCGATGAAAACGAATAATAATAATATATTTCAATAAAAATGATAAAATGAAAATTTAATTTTATTATAACGAGTTTGCTTGAATTTCATCTCTTCTGAGATCGCAGCAATGCGCGACGGGTAAGCTAGTATTATATAACATAATACAGTGATGGACAGCACGCCGATTGTTTATTAGGAGAAACTTTTACGATATAAGCATTAAATTACAAATAAATGTCGCTAAATCAACAAGCGCTTTCGACGATAATTATTTTTGTCTTCATCAGGTCGTTAAAACATTTAAAATCCTTTTTGAATACAAATAACAAATCGTTCCAAGCATATTAACATTTTGGAATGAAAGCAATGGTAGAACATAATAAAACTTTTAAATGAAAACACGCGCGATTGTAATGCGCATGCATTAAATGCCTCCAAATTGTGGAGCTAGATATGTTGTTTTAGATAGTTATACAAATTGATCCACAAAGGGGGCAAATCAAGTGTGGGGGTGTTGCAGGGCTTTAATATGTTGGTAAGGAGGGCTTCCCAAATATACACAAGATTTCTGTTATTGCAATGTCTTAGTATGGCCACTTTGCCCCACAGTGGGGTATGTTGATGTTGTAACACCATTCTAGCAAATTCGGTTTCATTCTTGCCTTCCCTGATGGAATATTGATGTTTTAAAATATGATAAGATAGCATTCTGGTTGTCGTGCTAACATAATGGGTGCAACAACCTGACACATTTTCTAATGGGACAGAGTAAACCCCCGATCTTTTAAGGGTGGACATAGGATCTCTGTCATTGGACAACAACCTCGTAAGATTTGGTCGTGGAGAAACCAGCAGAAAAAAGGCATGTCGCCTAAAAATACGGCAGATATGGCCGGTGACATGACCACAAAATGGTATCACGGGCAGGACCATTGTGGATTATTTCGGAAGATGTAGTGTAGTAGCGGGAAAGAGTGATCTTTTTACCTTATTTAAGATGTAGATAAATTTGGCATTACTGTAGCCTTCCTCATTTACTGCACGGCAAATAATATTAAGTTCGGTATCGACAGCCGCTTGGCTGAAAGATAAAAGAAAGGCCCTTCTTATTAAAGGTGAAATTGCCGCATTGATGTAATGTTGCAGTTGGTATGCTGTAGCCGGGATTAGGGGAAGTACACCACTAAATTTGTGGAATACGGAGTACGTAATGTTATCCTGGGATTTAATAATTTTTAGATCCAAGAACGCAATTTCATTTTCTTTGCCTTTTTCCCAGGTAAAATTAATTGTGGGATAAGTAGTCGCGAGACAATCTTTGAAGGTAAGGAAATTTTCATGGGTGTCATGCCAAGCTATTAGAATGTCATCAACGTATCTAACTTGTAAGATATAAAAGAGGATACGTTATCGTGATGGGAAATTTAAAAATCTTGAATTCAATATTCCTCATGACCAACTCTGCCAAGATCGCTGAAAATGGTGAGCCCATCGGGACTCCCTGCTGCTGTAGATATATTTGGCCCTTCAATTGGAAATAATTATTTTTGGAAATAAAGAGTAGAGCTTCGCATAACTCTAAAACCTCTTGCGCTGTAAAACCCTTTCTGATTAGCAGCGCATTAGCAAGCATAACGGCTTCAAACTGCGGCACCAAAAGGTAAAGGGCAACTACATCCAACTTGTAGTAACTATACTCTTTTTGTGAAATGTGGTCTAGGACAGAAGATATGTGAGCCTTTGCTGCAATGGAGGAAGATGTAACCAAATAGGAAGGAGGTAGAAGTCCACTTAATAACCTGGCTAGGGCCTTTTCAAGATGGAAGGCAGGGTGGGTCCTTTTATTAACCAGCGGTCTCAATGGCCAACCCTCCTTATGAGTTTTAACCTCAAAAAAGAGCCTGGGGCAAACTACGTTGGACGAGGGATCAACATGTCCGGGAAGAGCCGAAATAGTTGGAAGGGATATTATTTTTCTAACCTTTCTTAGGACGGTAGAAGTTGGATCAGTTTTTAAGGGCACCACACAAGAATGGCTGAGGAAGTCAGTAGCCCTGGTTACAAAATCTTCCTCCTTACATAACACAAACTTCTTCTCTTTGTCCGAGATTAGAAGCTGTAAATTGTTTACTTCCAAGTACCGCCTTACATTACGGTTGTTGACACAATTTCCACCGGTATACATGGATTG